AACACAGTGAAGAAGCTAGAGATGGGTGTGCGGGACCCACAGGCCATTTATGGAGATCAAATTCTATTTCTGCAGCCCTGGTGTTGGACCCCAAACGGGGTTCTTAGCCCGGAGACGACTGCCAATAACTTCGCCGGACACGAGAAACTCTTTTGAGCAAAATTCCTTTATTGGCGCGCAGCAGTAAAGGGGATGCCTCTATCTAAAGAGGCTCTCCGAACACAAAGAGATTGGGCTTTTTATACATTTTGCTTCAAGGAGATATAACATTTAGAGATTACTGATTGTTCAGGAAGGTCTTCATCACCTTAACTGGGATTTCCCTTTGAACTCTTCTGTGCAGTGGACCCATCCCCGTATCTTTTGTTCTCTCAAGAGATGTCAACTTACAGGTGAATACAGTTAATAGGTTACCAAGGTTAGATGCAGGCTAACCTAGAAGGATCAGCTATGGGTGAATACATCCTGAATACATTTAATAGGTTATCTAGGTTAAATGTAGGCTAACCTAAAGGGTCAGCTATGGATCGATACATCCTTGCTGTCCTGCAAGAATCACAGGCACAATACTTTTCCATTCCGTGCTCCTCACCTGAATCTTATTGGCACCTTTAAATTTCAGAGGAAAACTGTAATTTATGTCTTAAACCCACCACCTGGTTATGTCCCCCTGCCCCAGCAATTAAATTCTGGGGAAAATGCAGAATATTGTTCACGCAGCTTTGCTTTCAGCCTCCCCCAAGGTTAAGTTTCTGCCTGTGCAAAGGCTGTCCAATTTTGTGCTCAACTATGAACACGACTAAGGTTTGGATCGACCACGTCGTGTGAAGCCTGGATAACAATCTGGATAACCTGGTGCATCGCTTTGTAATATCGGAGGAGCCCAGCCATTGAGAATCAGAAGCCACGGTTAAAAAAAGAAAACATATACGAACCTAGCTTTATCTTTGTTGGATTTTGGAGAAGCAGAACATCGTCTGGCCTTCTTTATCCCTTGGTTCGAAGGGCCAGAGGAGGGGAATTAAGTGGCAGAGGGATCAATGCTGGGCCCAAATAGAAAGATCCGGGTTCAAATCCCCACTTGGCCAAAGGTTTTCACTGTCACTTTGGGCAGTCACTCTGTTTAAACCAGGGTTGATCTGAAGACAAACAGAAGGAATTGGGCACCTGCAGGAAAGGTGCCGTTCAAATGTAAACAGGAATACATTTTTCAGGGCTCCCTTTTTAGCCCCAGCTAGCCAAATTCCTTCTAGACAGTTTTATGCTCCACACCAAGGAATGTCCAGAAGACTGCCTCTTCATCTGGAGGTTCTAGGACCAAGTGCAGGCAACTGTTATAAACCGACCTCATTTAAACGTGGCTTCGAAATAACCAGAAACTAAGCCAAGGGGTGCCCAGAAGAGAGAGATTCCTTGTGAATTTCCGGCCAAAATCCACTGTAAAAGCTGAGCGAGCGCTTGAAAAGCCTGCTGCAGGACTGCAAAGTCCCTTCCGAGGGAGATGGGTGGTGACCGAATTTGGAATGCAAATAAATAAAAAACGGACAAATAAAGAAAGTCCCATCTAAACCTTTGATTTTGGGAAGGTCCTAGAGAGCAGAGGGAATTCCTTGCCCCGAATCCTGTTTTTTTTAATTTTGTTTTTTTACGGTGGATGATTCTGCCAAGCCCTACTTATCCCAAGGTTCCCAAATTATTCTTTTCAGCTGCCCTAGTGTTTCCACCCTCTTTCCTGGGGGTGTTTTCTCTGTAACGCCACATTTATTGCACGCTTCCTTTTTCTCTCATCCTGCTTCTCGACTCTTGGTGCTTCAGCCACTGGGCTTTTCAGATAATGATATTTCGGAGCATTTCCAGCACGCCTTCCAACATAATCCAAATTAATCCGGGCTAATCCTTTTAGTGCAGCAACAGCAGAGAAGAGTCATTATTATCTCGTATATTAGTATTATCCCGATATGGTGAGTGGAAAATCAAAAAGGAGTGCTAACGGTGTAAAAAGAGGCCGGACTCTGTTTTCTATGGTTGAGATGTGTCACTGTTTGGAGACGGTCCTTCTTTATAAAAGGAAAAATTAGCTCCAAAAGGTGGTGAAGAAGCCAGATGGGCAATTCCCGGTGCTCCAGATGTGCTTGAAACCCAGTTCCTAGCAAGCCTAAACAATGGAGCAAATGCTGAAGGGTGATGGGTTTGCAAACATCTGAGGTCGCGCACCACTTGCTCACAGTGGTCTTCATTATTCAGGGTGCCCAATCAAGGTTGTGCCAGGTTGTGCCAGGTTGAAGGCTTGTGCCAGGCTGGAGGGTCACCTAGCTAGAGGGTCTGATGTGATAAAATGGGGGGGGGGGAGGGTGTGGAGAAATAAAACCCTCCTGGAGAAAGTAGGGGGTATTAAACCCACTACCTTTGAGCCCCCTTCCCCAAGAAGGAAGGAAGCTGCACCAGAACGATGGGAAAAGAAAGATACGTTGTTGGGGTTTTTTTTACTCGAAAGAGTTAAGTCTTATCAGAAGTTCATTTGGGGGCTCATGGCTTTGTTGCGACAACACCCCCCCCCCCTTTCTGTGGTGGGGTTGGTGGTGTTTTTTTTTAGGTTTTTTTTTAATTTGTG